AAGGACAAACAATATGGAAGCCAAGTTAACTATGATATATGATAAATACTGCAGGGTTTTGTAAAAATATTCTTTTGGTTCAGAAATACAGAGGATTACATGCTCATATTTATAAGTGGTTGCCAGCAGTTATGGTTACTCAGGGTATATATTACTTTTTCTTTTCTCTGAAGTTCACGTAATAACAGTTATTTAATTGAATATATCCAACAACTTTTAAGCCACACAGAGGTCAACTACTTTGTAATGACTTAAAGGTACATTTTCAGGTAATATTTCATCTGTTCTATAATATTAAGACGAAACACAGTGTGTAGAATCCAGAAGAATTTTATCACGGTAATTAATGTATAACGACGTCAACATATTTGATTGTTTTCATTTTTTCTTATGTTTCTGCTATTAATTTTAGTTAAATGCCCCTGAACATTTTTTTTTTTTTTAGAATTTGTTTATATGATTAAAACATCTATATAATGCTAACTATATAACATTCTTTTTCTTTTCATAAGCCCGAAAATGAGTCTTACAATTTGATCACAAAATTTACTGAAATCTGGAAGTGAATCTGATAACTGGCAAATCAATGTAAGGACAATTTCAGAGATTTTCCACTTCGCGTTCTTTATGGAGCATGAGAATCCAAGCAGGCAATCACGGAAAGAGACTATGCACAGAATCGGGGAAAGCAAAATATGCCCTTTACTACATTACTGTCGTCAAAATTCACTTACACATTTGTAGAAAATTAATTTTAAGACAACTAACTATTGCTGTTTTTGACTTCATCTGATCAGTAATATAAAGCACATTGAGCAGGTTTAATTTGTAACAGAAGACAGAAGCCTCCTTTGGAAATTACTTCAGTAATTAAAAATTTAATTCAAATTGAACACATTTAGAAGAGCCCCAGCACTTTAAATGTAACGAATTATTGTTCTGCCCGGATTTAATTCTTCATTACCTAAACTGCTTACATTTCTTCTTTTTAATTAAGTAATTACAAAGCTTCCAATTAAACGATGTTGCACTCAGACAATTTGACATCTGGTTGCAGATTGAGCCAATAAAACCCGTCCGCTTTAGATGTGTAGGGGAGGTACTCAGGAAGGATTGTTTGTACATTTCTGTTCTTTATTTATTGACGTGTTCTGTTTATATCACACACACACACACACACACACATAAGTTGGTCTTCCTATCTAAATGGGGACCGTCCATTCATTTCTATGGGAAAAACCATAATCCCCATCACGACACCCTTAACCCCTACCCAGCCCCTAACCTTAACCATAAGTAACCAACCCAAATACAAGACTTTTGGCATTTTTACTCAGATTTTTATAAAACTGAGGTTATCCAAATGTGGACCTCAAAACATGTCCCCAAAAGTAGGGAAATTTCAGGTTTTACTACACTTTGGGGACAATTTGGTCCTCAAATGTGATCTATGCAACCATACCGCCCCCCCCCCCCCCCCCCCCCCCCCCACACACACACACAGCTTATAGCTATCAATGTGAATTTTCCCCTTACCAGATTTTTTCTTTAATTAATTTTCACATAATTGCATGGATTGCATTGTTTCTATTATCTTGTCAATATAACATTAGGAATCTTCTTCTTAAGAAATATAAAACCGGAATGGTTAGATATCCTTTCAAATACGCTTGACGAGGCACAGAAAGCAAAGTAAAAAGTGATATTTTACTTTTTGACACTTTTATAAGAGGATGTGAAGAAATCACTTCTGCCAGGGTTGTGGTGTGGACCCAATGCACGATAATCCCTTTATATGAGCTGTTGAAGAAGACATCACAGACTTCATAATTATCACGGATGATTTAACTCATATGGTAATTATAGTATTTTAATAAATGGGAACATGGCAGTAAGTGACCTAAAAAATCTTCTGGTGGAACAAAGATAAGTGTAATTTTTCGGAAAAAGCCTCCTGTGATCTTTTATTCGTTGCCACCTCACCGCAGACGAAGGGTAAAACTTCAGACGGCCTGTCAAAACACATCAAAGTCATGCCCGAGTTTTAAATAGTCCTGCCATTTGGGAGAATCATTGGAGTAGCTACAGGTTAGCCTAAGTCCGCCAGGAAGGATAATAAGACTGTCTGCAGAGCTGCAAGTTCACTGCTAATACGCCGGTTATTGCGTATGTGTGAAATAATGAGAAATGATGAGCTTCTGCATTCAATTTTTATATGATTTACTACCATTTTTCTTTTAAAGAAAGACCTTTAATATCGGACTCGCCGTAGAACTTACGGGCTGCAGTGCTTATTGCGCAGACCCACAAAACGCAGGGTCTCAGTGTATTAAGCTTGTTACATTAGTTATTTGAGTTCACTCATCTATACAGAATTATTTGCGCCATGCTGCCTGATTTATTGGTTCAATTCGACAGCCCACTGTGGTAAATCCACCTTTTGGATTACATGTATACTGGGACCGCACGCCCCCTCAGGTCATCAGCTAACCTTGCTGAAAATGACTGATCTACAGGGTGCAAAGGTACCACAGTTAAAAATCATACATTAAACAAAAGCCTGGCTTCTTAGGTGAAAACCCCCACAAGTTGCACTATATTTTCTGTTCCCTGTCATTTATTTATTTATTTTGATTGAGGTCGAATGTATATGCAATTCATTGTAAACTATGCATACGCAAATACTGTATGACAGGGTTCCTCGGAGACCCTCTGGCTATGCTAATTTTACCCCCGCTGAGTGCTTATTACATTAGCCTTGATGGGGGCATTGATTAAATTCCACCCATGATTTGACACATCATAATATTGGTGTCACCCTTTGCACGGCGTCCTTTCGAATGCAAGTTTACGTCAAAAAAAAAAAAGAAAAAGCTGCAGAAAAAAAAATCTAAATTCCACTTTAAATGTTTATCAGTCATTAGCTGATTATTCGAATTAATGATACCCTAGTGGGGACTCTCTGTGAACTCGATGAGAGCTCAGTGAATTTACATTTCAACTTTGAGTAGTCAGTTTTGATTTTTTGGAGTATTATACGTTGCACACATTCTAATTCTGCCCCACAGAGCCAAGCTTCACCTGTCAAATAAGTGTGCCTACAGCCTGGGGCGCTGTAAAGGGGGGGTAAACGATGACGATTCTCGGGGCCCATGACTGAGAGGGGGCCCAGAGAAAAAAGTCTCAGCTGTGTTGGGGGCCCTGTCAAGATTCTTTTCATGGGGCCCAAAATCCTTAGCAGCGCCCCTGCCTACAGCCTGGGATTCTTTAAGGAAAATTGTGTAGGCTGGGTAACAGTACGTCAACAGCAATACCTTCATGTGTGTACTGCCTGGACTGACTACCTCAGAAGAAAGATTGTAATCCAAAATGTGCCAGCAACGAGGAAGTGCAATCTGTCACACAAAACACAGAAAACACAGAGGATAAATACAGCTAGGAGTAGTCGTCTTATCAGACTAGTCTTTGACATCCTACCAAATCGTTTATTTCAAATTGTGAGGGATCCAAGGCTTAGGAGAATCTCAGCTGTCTTTAACGGAATCAAAATCAACGCGCTCGTCGAAAAGCCCAACATCCCAGTCATGTGAGCACATCTTTTGCTAAACGGACCGACAGTTCTAGATCCGTGGAAGAATTTACCCGCAGCAGTTGCGCCATCCGTGCGATACAATGCTGCTGGTCATAGGAGACCGACTGTAGAGATAACAAGCGAAGCCAATGCAAAAAGCCCCAGTTTGTCGTTGATACACGATTCGCTCAGATGCATCCATTGCAAAATAGCTTGTTAGCTGCACTGGCACCTTTGTTGTCTAAAGGAGCACTGCTAGGCAGCAATATGTATGAGTTAGATTGCCTTGCAGTGCAATTTGTGGTAAATACACATGGGACACATGTAACTATCAAGTGAAATGAATAGCGTGCCGGTTGTCCTGTGACCTTGATGGCTGCGTTAATGTATTTTGGAAGATGCTTGACTTCTTTCAGAAACCTCAACGCATTAGCAAAGTCATTTTTGTCCCACTCCAGACAGTAAATTGCAGTTGATTGCAGAGATGCTCTACAAGCAGTGGCCCGATTATTATGTAGACCTGTTCATTAACATGCACAGCCCGCTCTTCCAAACAGCCAATCGCGTGGCTACAACTGAATACATACAGCACGGCAGATACGGGCCGAGGATCAGTTATCATTCAGCTAAGCAAGTTCCGCTAAGAATGGCTAATATTTCAAATCCAAGCGACTCTGAATGCGGCGTGATTGTTTGCGCCGAACGTGGTGGTTCCGACATTCTGAGATTTTCCCTACAAGCGCTAATATATCAGCTCAGTCCAACAGGGGCGTGCAGAATAGCTTCTCCGAATCAATGAAGTCATCTACCCTTGATGTGGTTCTGGAGGCAAAAGTGTGTCCTACCCAGTAAGAGCTGGGTAAATGTAATCGTAATATAACTGAGGATGAGGTCTCATGGTGGGTGCTTGGCTACAAGGACATGTTTGTGCATTTTGTAATCACATCAATTTTAAGCAATCTGGGGTTGCCCCAGTACCGTAAATACTCCAAACAAGGTGGAAATGAAAGTATACCAGAGTTACGGTCAGCAAACAAAGTGAGTGGTGGTTCAGCTTTTGATGTGCCGTCATATTCCGTAATAATCTTGTGCCAGACAAAAGTAATAAAGCAGTGGGAGAAATGCAGCTTTGAAGGGTCCATCTTCCTACAGCCACAACAAGCATGTAGAGAAGATCTAATAATCAATCATGTACTTGCAACATGCTTATAAATGTCTATTTATTGATAAACATATATAAAGATAAACATACATACACACATATCACACACACACAGCAAATGTGTATATATATATATTTATATATATATATTTATATATATACACACACACACACAAACACACACATATATATATAATTCTGAAATTAATGCATACTGTTCACATTCCAAGCGAAAGGTAAAACGAATGAATAAATCAGTGATCTTACTCAGGCAGAAGACGTGGACGTCAGAGGTGGAATGCTCCCTGTCCTGAGACCTGCAAGAGACTGCAGAGAGACCTGCATTCAATTAGTCAGGCATGCTTACAAATATGATGATCTCTAAAGAAAACATAGCAAGTGTTTGATTACATTCGATTACATTACATTCAATTTATTGTCATCATGCAGAGTACAAGTACAATGCCAACGAAATCCAGTCTGAAGCATTAAACTTTTGCAGGATATTCCCTGAAAGGAAGACCAAGATATTTCATAAAAACATTATATTTTATATTTGTCTTTCCCGGATGGGGAATACATTGGATTTGGGACCAGTCTGTGGCCACGCTATCACAACAAACACTTATCTTGTTAATTCGATACCTCAAAAACTCTTTAACGGATGTTATTCAATCTTTGAAGGTACATTACATGGGCAAGGATCCAGAACTGACCAATGTTTGAGGCAAATCGTACAAAGACCAAAGCAGCACAAAGAGAAGAAGACCCACAGATGCAGATATGGTCAACCTGATTACATTGTGACAAGTCACATGCACTTGGGCTGAGGAGAAGTGTGTAAGGCGGCTAGAGATTGTAGAGGGTGGGGGGGTGTGGGAGGAGTCAGGATTAGATGGGGGGGTAGACTGATAGGACCATCCAGATCAGACTCATCGCTGTTGTTCCGACATCATCTAGCTGAGATTTACGTTTTATGTGAATGTTTTAATTAAACTTTCATAGCTGCTGTCCAAATGTGAACGGTGACTTTCTTGACATGAAGGAAATGACTTTCAAAAAACAATTCAGATTAATACAAATGACTAAGGATTTCTCAAGGACCAACTCCTTACGCTGATTTCCCCATAAATGAAGCCAGAAAGGCAGCATACACAAGGCACCAACATCATAGTAAGTCTTATTATTGTCTTTTGAAAGCTCAGCAAATTTTCTTTCCCAGTAATATCACTTACAGCATCATCAGCATAACCAACAGAGAAGCACCATCCCATATGACACCCAGAACATCAGTCCTTGTCTGCGATTAATTTGGCCCTTAAAAGGTACATTAGTCTTGTTGAGTGCATTTGAACTGGAGACATTTTTTTTACAGACTTTCTGTATCTTAAATACGAAGATAAAGTATCTCAGGTAATTAAAATAATAATTCCACCATATGTGTTGATGCCCAATGGGTGTCTAAAACTATTATAGTTAAAGAATAGTTTTATCTAATCCAGTGCTTACTACAGCATGCCTTCAAATGGAGATTCCTCGTTCACAGATAAATCGCAGCCTTCTCTAGGAATTATGCTAATTAACACACTTAATACAGTCGTCAGATTAGATGCTTACAAACATATTCCTATACATCCACACAATATATTTCATTACATAATAATATACACCCACTGGCCACTTAATTAGATACTGTACACCTTGCTAGTATTGGGTTGAACCCCCCATCTGCCTTGTTTGTGGCATAAGATTCTTTGTGGCATAAGATAACCGGCGGAGTGTTGGCACCCGCCCCGGGTTGGTTCCTGCCTGCACCCGTTGTTCCCGGGTTAGATCTGGTCCCCCCACGACCCCAGTTTGGATTAAGTGGTTACGATACTGGATGGATGGATGGATAAGTTTCAACAATGTGGATCTACATTCTGCAGACTATGTTCCATGTTGACACGATGGCATCATGCAGTTGCTGTCGTTTGTCGGCTGTATCTTCATGATGCACATCTCCCGTTTCACCACATCCCGTAGACGCTATATGTATCTTCGTGGTGCACATCTCCCGTTTCACCACATCCCGTAGACGTTCTATGTATCTTCGTGGTGCACATCTCCCATTTCACCACATCCCACAGACGCTCTATGTATCTTCATGATGCACATCTCCCGTTTCACCACATCCCGTAGACGCTCTATGTATCTTCATGATGCACATCTCCCGTTTCACCACATCCCGCAGACGCTCTATTGAATTGAGATCTGCTGACTGTGGAGGCCATTTGAGTGCAGCAAACTCATTGTCACGTTCAAGAAACCAGCCTGAGATGATATGAACTTTGTGACATGGCGTGTGATCCTGCTGGGTACACTGTGGTCATAAAGGGACAGATATGATGAGCAACAATACTCAGCTATTCCCAGTACTCAGCTCCCAGCGCACCTGTACCAGGCATTCGGTGTATCTGATTGGCTGGGAGCTCCGAGGACTGGGTTGGGAAACGATGATTTAAGTGATGGTCAATGGGCCAAAATGTGCCAAGAAAATATCCCCCCACTGCATTACTCCACCAGCAGCTCTCCCATAAGGCAGGATGGATACACGCGTTCATGTTGTTTGCGCCAAGTCCTGACCCCACCATCTGAACGTCGCAGCAGAAATTGAGAGACGTCTGACCAGGCAACATTTTTCCAGTCTTCCATTGTCCAATTTGGGTTAGCCTGTACCTACTGTAGCCTCGGTTTCCTGTTTTTAGCTTGCAAGAGTGGCTCCCGGTGTGGAGTTCTGCTGCTGGAGCCCATCTGCTTCGAGGTTCAGCGTGCTGTGTGATCAGAGAGGCTCTCCAGCATACCCTGGTTGTAATGAGTGGGTATTTGAGTTGCTGCTGCCTATATATCAGCTTGAACTAGTCTGGCCATTCTTCTCTGACCTCTGGCATCAGCAAGGCATTTTCACCCAGAGAACCACCTCTCACTGGATGATTTTTTTTTCTTTTTCTGTAAACCTTACAGATGGTTTTATGTGAAAATCCCAGTAGATCAGCAGTTTCTGAAATACTCATACCGGCCTGTCTGGCACCAACAGCCTTTCTACGTTCCAGGTCACTTAAATCACCTTTCTCCCCCATTGTGGTGGTTGATGTGAACATTAACTGAAGATCATGACCTGTATTTGCAGGATTTTTTGCATCGTGCTGCATACATGTGATTGGCCAATTAGATATTTGCCTCACTGTACCTAATAAAGTGGCCAGTGAGTGTACATGCCTCATTCTCAGTGTGTCACCTCAGGAACTCCTGTAGTTTTCATCCTAATGAATGTCTTAATTAATGATTATAATCAGCACGTTAGAAAGGGTTAGATTTTGCATATATTAAAACTCACGGAGACTAATGAGAGTGTGTATTTAAAAAAAAAAAAAAGTCGTTCACTTGCGGACCTGAACCAGTAATCAAAAGATCAAAATTCATTAAGGTTATTCCAGGAACTGGGTTTGTGAAATAAAACATGGATAGAGATATAAGGAAACAGGGAAGAACAGAGTGATCTACATCACCAATATCAGGTAGAATTTGCAGGAGTATAGAAGTTTAGTGGGAGTTTAGGGAGTGTAGAAAAGACCTTAGATAAATAAGGGAATGTGGATGCTTCTGGATATTAGCAGGACATAACGACTGCAAGGTTGTAACAGAACTTTTGCACACCCTACCAATTCAGAGCTGAGAAACCAGGCACCACACTGAGACTATGCTGTAAAGAAAGTAAAGGCAGACCTCCTTAATGAGTTTGTGAAGGTCCGGGGCAAACTCGTGAATTCCTCACAGTTAGCTTTCTCCGGAAACACAGTTACGCTACACTGGCCCACTGACGAGCATGTGCTCGTTATGAGCTCAGGGCACAGATCCAGATACTGGAGCACAAGGCCAGAACTACAATCGCAGCAAATCCCCTTAAGGAGAGCTTCCGCTACATGACTTCATGTTGGTTTTGGGTGTTTATTCCACAATACTGTCAACAGGACTGCATACATGGCACTTAAGGCCTATGGGCCAAAGCAAACTGGCTGCAGAATGACCGAAAAGCACAGAGATGGTGACCGTTCCCTGAGTAATTAGGGGAGATAGCTTTCAGCCCCCAAATCCAGGGGCACCACCAGGTATCTCAATCCCTTGCATAGGATCAGCAAGGTTTAGACACAGATTCAACCAAATAACATCAAAAATGTCATAGTTCAAGAAATCAAGAAGAGCATACTTCAGTTTGATTGTTCTTTTTCAACATATACCCTCAGGAACTCTCCACTTCACTAGTAAAAGTATATCTTGTGTACCTTCCAATCTCCATAAACAATAATAAAGAAATAAGATTACAGAACCATAACGTGTAAAAACATTCATGCTACAGCATGTTCCTTAATCTATCGGCTTCTAAATAGGCCTTTAAAATGGTGATATATGAAAATGCTACTGCCCAGGGGGGCCTTTTTAATTTGGGAGGAAGAATATTACATTTCACATAGCATAACCATGAAGGGAAGCACTGTGGGGGGCATTGGGCAGTGGGGGGTTGCTGCATGAGCGGCACTGCTGCCTCACACCTCCGGGGCTGGGGGTTCAAACCCCATCCCTACCGTGTTTGGTGTTTGCATGCTCTCTCTCCCCAGGCTGTGTGGGCTTCCTCCCACAGTCCAAAGACTTGCTGTTAGGTTACCTGGCATGCCTGCAATGGACTGGCATCCTGTCTATTTCCCATCCCACCCAGAGCGTACCCAATCATATCCAGGGTGTACCCAATCCCGTCCAGGGCATACCCCATCCCGCCCAGCGCGTACCCAATCCCGCCCAGGGCGTACCCAGTCCCGCCCAGGGCATACCCCATCCCACCCAGAGCGTACCCAATCATATCCAGGGTGTACCCAATCCCGTCCAGGGCATACCCCATCCCGCCCAGGGCGTACCCAGTCCCGCCCAGGGCATACCCCATCCCACCCAGAGCGTACCCAATCATATCCAGAGCGTACCCCATCCCACCCAGC